CTTTCAAAATCTCTGACAAGGATTGTTGTGTATCGGCCAAAATGTAGCCAAAATTTAATAGATCTTAAGTAAATATACACACAAATATATATATATATATATATATATATATAATATATATTATAATATATATAGATATATATATGTGTGTGTGTGTGTGTTTAATTTGAGTTTAAATTCGGGTGTAACATCAATAAAAATAGTATGAGAGTTTTTTTAAAAGTTTATTTATCTAAAATCCATACGTTTCGGCTAGCATCTTAGCCATCATTCAGTGGTAATCAAATTAACTATAAAAATTGAAACTAAATAAGTTATATGTAAGAAATTTCATAAAAAAACAATAATAATAATAATAATAATAATAATAATAATAATAAAAACACTTACAATTTGTATCCTAATATAGCATATGAAACCATTATTAATCCATATTAATCTAAGATGCTAGCCGAAACGTATGGATTTTAAATAAATAAACTTTGAAAAAAATTGTCATACTATTTTTATTGATGTTACGCCCGAATTTTAAACTCAAATTAAACATATATCAACATCAAATTCAAGACTATTCAATATATATATAATATATATATATATATATATATATATATATATACACATATGCGACTTGTATGCGTAAAAAAGTCGCATAGGCCACATATGATTTTCTGATACCATATACCATATCTCTAAAATGAATTCTGATGTCCCGTGTATAGACCCAAAGATTGGGTCAAATTTAAAAAAAATCCTGTTTTGGCTCATTTGGAGCGCCCCAATAGTGTCGAAATATATAACCGACCCCCAATAACTTTGGAAAGCCGAAATCGATATACCCATGTTTATGGTACACCCCCTGTGAGCTTCCTTAGAGGTCCCGCATACAAAAATTGCATCATTTGTCAACATGACAAAAATCAGCGATTTATTTTTATTATAAAATCTATTTAATCATAACATATGTAAATAAAACTATGTAAAACTTATAAATTATTGCTTAAAGCGCCTTTTTTTATTTCAAGTCTGGAAAATTTCGCACGGCTGTCTATTGTCGGCGCCACAAAAGAAAAATTGAAACAAAAAATTTTAATTTTTTTTTGTGAAAATTTTTTGTGTGTCTAAATTAATATCAGAAAAAATGTTTTAAAAAACATTTTTTGCTAAAAATACCAAAAACAATGATTTTTTGCAATTTTTGCATGGAAGACCTCTAAGGGAGGTCTCAGGGGTTGAACGAACGGGCATGTGTGGATCGGCCTTTTGAAGTTGATGGGGGTCGGTTATACATTTGGACGCAATTGGGCACGCTAAATGTTGCCAAAACGGAATTTTCAAAAATTTAACCCTTATCTTTGGGTCAATGCACGGGACATCATAATTCATTTAAAGATATGGTTTCTTCAGCAAAGTATCTTATTTTGTTCCTAGTATCCAAAACCCATATATGCCTAAGCGACATTTAAATCGAATAGATATTTATATATATATATATATATATATATATATATATATATTTATATATTAGGGTATATAATCAACAAAGAACATTTTAAGTAAAATTTATACTAAGTATTTCTACCTCTATGGGCCTTCAGTTCGCGGGCGTTTGCCAAACCTCGCTCCTCTGTGTCCCCGGTGCCTCCTCGGTCCCCTATAATTAGGGTTAAAAATATTTGGGCCCCAAAACCGAGGTGGTGGGTGGGGATGCATGGGACCCAAAAACGGGTGTGGCGGTACTGGATACATTCCGGGTAGAATTGGACCGAAAAGAAGTGGTGGAGGAAGAATGGTGGTATCTACTATTGTAGGCTGTGGATTAATTTCCGAAGCAGACGTAACAGGTACGAGTTCCTGTAAATATTTTTTTTAAAATAATATCGATATTTAATCATTATTATTATTATGCTTTTTTGCTTTTATTAGAACTGTTTATTGTGTTCCATAAGCTGCAGTGTACTATCCTTAATATAAAAAAAGCTCTTAGCCCAGTCATCTTAGGTTAAATTAGGCAAGAATCTCGTAAGGTGAGATACCCAGCTGTAACTTTGTAAATAGTTGTATATTGACACCCTTAATGTTGTCTCAAAACCTACATATGGTAGGGTGTGCGCAACTATAAAATTTCGGGGTCAAAGGTCACAAAAAATCGCGGTTTTTCGCTTTTTTTGTAAATATCTCATTTCCTATGGGTTTTTGCTATTTATGTTTATTATCAATATTGTAGAATACAAAATTCTCTACAAATTTTGTTTGAAATTTTTTTTTATACGGTGAACCGTTTTCGAGATAGAGGGCGGAGAGCGCGGTCATAGCATCCTTCAGGTCAACCGATGCCTTCGGTCAAAAACGCGCCATATATAGTTGATGAATTGAACTCGCTAGTAATGATTATAAACATTTGTCAATTTTTATTAACTATTTTATTATATTTTGTCATTTTTTTCGTGCCTTAAATCTATATTTATTCAATAATACTGATCACCTAAATTCAGATCACTAAAATTAAAAAATAATAAGGAAAAAACTTAAATCATAATATGATTATGTTTCACAAACACTCTTAAATTTTAAATAGAAAATAATTAAGTGCATTTCTTTAAATGTAATGTAAATTTCAAAATCCTTCCTCTTCCAATCCAGCAGAGAAGATACTTTTCTATTATAATTGATAAATACATAAATTATTTACAAAGGCATTACAGGTCCAAAATAATTGTTGTATTTGACGGATATTCAGACTACAGTAAGAACGTAAAAGCTATGGGAGCAGCTGAGAAGAACTGCACTT